TCTTGCAAACCCTCTTCAACTAATGTCCACAACTCTTTGTATCCTAAATTTGACACTTTTAATGAATACTTCCCCTCGCGTATGCTCCGTCCAAATTTTTGAAAATCCCGACTGTTATATTGTTTGATCTCCTCCTTAGTCGTAACTTTTGCCGGAACATGTTTTTTAATGACCACAGATTGTGACGAGACTGATTCTACAATGTAGGCTGTTGATGAGTTGCTATTGCGATTGGGAAGCCTGTGTAATATTATCTAAAAAATTGTACATTAGAGTTAGCGAGATACTATAATATAATGCATATCGTATGCATATTCTTACGTCAAATCCATTATTAATGTCAACGCTTCTTTGTTGTTCCTGATTCTTTGTCACTTTCAGATTAAAGCTCCTATTGCTGCGTGTTGTTCCACTAAGACCGGTTTGAGGATGTTGCCATAAGAAGTTTTTCAGGTCGTCATCGCTCATTAGGCAGAATTGGTGATTCGTCAGTTTAGTCAAGAACCTATACAATTATAGATAGTAATCTTAATAGTGGAGCAAACTGATATTGGAAACTTTTTGGTAACAGAGATCAAGTACGTGCCTATGAAGATTTGTCATATTTTTCTGTTTGTTCACTGATTCCTTTTCCTCATAGCAACCTTTCTCCGGCCATAAAATTACAAAGCCCAAACGTGGCTTGATAAAAAGTAGATAGAGACCAGTTGTCAATGAAGTACCGGCAAGAACCTGATCGGAATCTCGCTCAGACTTGACAAGTTTATCATAACTATGTTACGAATAGAGATAAGCGTAAATGTACACGGAACATAAAGATACATACAGATACTTATCGATATATGTTACTAACCTGTCTTGATTAATACAGTTGCTCTGTAACAATAGCTTTAAAATGAGCTCACGGTTCCCGAAGCATCCAACAAGGTCGAGATGTTCTTTCCCCAGTTTTTCAAAGCGTATATCGGCGATGGAATGATAACTTTCGGGAGCCAATGCATTGCACAAATTTTCCAAATCTGGCGGATGGATAATAGCTTTATCCACTACATTGTAGGAGAAATCATCATAAAATCAGTACAATGTGTAGTAAAGCGTGGATCGCATGCGTTATGAAAAATATATTACCTGTCCCAGTTGTGCTTGTATCCGAACGCAATTCGATCAGTCGGTACAAATTTTTAATAATTGTGCCATCTGTTCCACGCCACGCAAATTCTCCATTCGTGTCATCAAAGCCATTTAAGGAGCGATCGCCGTTTGAGGGCAAATAATTAAAATTGGGCAGATCGTCAGACAAAGTTAAAGTGTCAGCTTTTCGAAATATAAAAATAATATTAAAATTTTAGAATAGTGTTAGTGTTAGGGTTTATCTGAGATCAGTCTAAACCTTTGAATATATTTACAAGGGACAAACTCTGTAGAGACTGGTAGCGTCGTTGAGCCGTTGGTATTTCCTGAATTTTCAGTTTCATGAGTTGTTTTTAATTCGGTGTTTTCAGGTACACGCATGTCGCTGTTTACACTATTTACTTCTGAAAATATAGTAAAAATAAATTAGTTTATCAACTAATATACTACCAAATACAAAGACATTTTTTTGAGCGTACCGTCAGCATGAGAAGTTTCTTCCGTAAACTCCATGTTTTTCACAACACGAGTTTTTTGGTTCAAAAAGTTTGTCGATGGGGGCTTTTATTTCTAACGGTTTCCTCTAGTCAATGACGACTTATCAACCTTATCATAAACACTGTTCTTCAAAACGGAAAGCCGTACGAGCACAATAAGGGAAACGTCCACATTATCCGTCCAAATTAAGTATGAAAATAGCATTATATTTAACACAAAAACTGTCCATGTACGAGGTTGTGATGTTTTATAAAAGTATTTGTCGCGACCCCTCCACTCGATAAAACCTAATTATTTGCAAAACGCAGACTCACGTTTTTGTAGTGGCTTCGTTAATACGTTTTACAAAGCCTTTAACAGTGTTTCTGAAATTAATACATTCTGCGAACATATTCTTGTCGTGTTTATTTATATTAATAATAAAATATTTATCCGCAGTTAAATTTAGGTAATAGTATGGTTTATGACCGATGATTGGTTGATATTATGCAGATCACGTAAAAGCGACACGCTATTGAATCACCAATTTAATGGTAACAATAATTTCGTGCTTATGACGTCCTCATCCCAAAATGACAGACTTGCAATGCATTGAAAATTAATGGCGAATAGATTGTCCGTTGACATAACATTTTTTTTTGTTTTAATAAACCAAGATCCATTGAGGGTCAATGGAGTTGATCAATTAGGGTTCCATTGACAACAAAATTCTCCCATTGGTGTAACATCGAGTTGCAATTGACCGGACCAATTGAGGGTCCATTGGAATTCAAATGCATCTCTTGTGTATTTTTAGTTATTTCTTTTCTATAATTCACAATAAATCGAACGTATAATGGTGGAAACTAATCTATCAGTGGACACTATACTTTTCATATTTTAAATGAACGAAGAATTTAGAGTGGAAAGAGCGATAGTGCTGCTATGCTAGTAACATAATTAACGAATAACCGTAGTATATGTCGTACTCACCTTAGTGATGCAAAAATCTGGGTGGCGGAGAATATGATAAATCTGAACAATTTATTAATATGGTTGATATTTATTGTATATTAGTATCTAAGACAAGTTAATAAACGCAATTAAAGTCTCCTACAGAACCACTAGCTCGATAATTTTTCCCAGCTTGAGTTCTACAAGGATAACCCGAATCTGGCACTATCCATGCCACGACAATTGTCTTTCAGAAAGTACAAGAGTTATTTCTAATCGTTAATCCAGGAGTGAGACTCTCCCACTACGTAATAAACGTTCCGGGCGTATACTGCGAGAAGCGACGACGGAATTGCGCGAGGAAATAAAGCCTATCGCAAAAGACAATAACGTAGGCCTCGCAATAGCGTTTAACGGATGGACGAATGTACATTGGGTGCAGTGCTAATTACTTCTGCAGATTCAGAAACGGGCTCACAAAAAGAAAACAGAGACGACGAACTCATACTGCTTACTCGCCTAATGGCCGGGCCTTGCCAACCCACACTCATGTTTCTTCACGATTGTTATGAGACACTGACAATTTGCAGACAACTAAAGTCAGATCCTGTATCTTAGAGACTATATGCCAAACATGCCTTTGGCCCGAGCGGGTTTTGGACGTGTGTGTGGGGATACATTGCAGCAAGTTAGTCAAATGATGTATTTAATATAATTTTGTGAATATTTCTCATGTTCTCATTACGGTTTCGCAGACGTCGATTACGTAGAATACTCCGAGACAAAGTATTTGTACTTCATTTGTGCATCAAATGAACTACACGTTGCTGACATATCTGACAAATTTAAAAAGAATGGTTGCTATTGCTGCTCTTGTTTCATATTTAGAAAGGCTTAAATATAAACAAATTTCGATTTACGAAAGACAATCACACCTGCGGTCATACAAGTGTTGGAATTCAAAATGGGCACTGAAGGCAGAATAAACTTTTACTATTAATGCACTAGTGTCGACTAATTTTCGAATAGTATACGATGTGAAATATTTTCCGTGTCACAGCAAAATTATCGCAATTTCGTGATAATTTTTTCAGTGTCAGCACATACGCCATAATTACTTAGAATATCTTCGTTCTTTGGATAATTTAGTTATTTTCAGCTGTGACGATTTCCCAGTGTCAGGAAAGACATACAAGAAGTTCATATTCCATCATTAATTGATTGGTTTGATGACGCTTGAGATATTAATATCGGATAGTTCTTATCCGTGGAATATCAAACGAACAATTCTTTGAATCAAATAGACTCTTTTTCTTACGCCGTTAACATATTAACTAACCAGAAACGGCTCATTAAAGCTGCAAGATTAATATATAAACGGTTTGTTGACAATTACGCCAATAACGGGATAAGAATCCATAATTAATATTAAACATTATGTTTTACCCCCGGTTAGTTGAAACATTTAATCGAAGATTACCCTATTAAATTAGAATATTTAATTCACCTTTGATTCTGTAATATAATAATTGTTGTTATTACGTGTATTATATCATAAGTACTATTCTTTAAATATAAGCACAGGAGATACGTAGCGTAGGGAGTAGAAAGCGCGTTCATGGTAATGTAAAAAGAGTGCCACGATGGAAAACCAAAATAACCATTGATATAACCGTTGCTACTGCCGTGAAGAATTTTCTCGAAAACTATGCTGAAATTCATGGATTACCAAGTCCTGGTAGAAATGTTAATCGCATTACTCAATCGCTGACATTACTGCCAGCTGAAACAAGTTATAAATCGGTCTATCGTAATTTTATTGCAGGTCTCGAAAATGATGAAATTGTTAAAATATGATGCGTTTCGCAAGTTATAGCACCAATTAACGCCTTATATTCAAATCATGAGTCCGAGAACGGATTTGTGCGATAAATTCGGAATGACGGAACATCTAGTTTATAATTTGAAACGTTGTTATTATAAACCAAAATAACTAGTTTCTCCCAGTCTTATTTCTAAACCCGCTTTAACGTCAACTGAAATACAATGGAACTCTCAAAATTTAACCGAGCTGAAATTATTGGTTTCGGAAAATAATACTCATAACCTTAGCATTCGAAGTTCTTCAAATTCTGAAATATTATACATAATTAAAAATAAATTGCAATTCACCATGTTTTTCATCAGTAAATGTTACGTACTGTTTATACTTTAAGTAACGTTGTTCTATGATTTATTATTATTGCACATCTAACAAACTATAAATAGATGTTTCTGTGATGTGCAATAGCTGTTTGAAGATAACCACTTGCAGTGCTAAAACATGTAGAATTTTGTTTGCATTTTTGAGAACATTTTTCTAAGCTACTTGTGTCTGATGCAGTAATAATCAAATTTTTGCAAATAAAGTGTGGCGTGCATATAAATAATATGTTACACAAAATATTATATCAACTTTGGTTTTCACCTTTTAATGTTATTATTATTATTATGCAAACTTCCATTATTTGCTTAACTAATTCTCATCTATATCTTATTGTAAATTCTAATAAACTAAAAATAAAGGCAAGTGACTGAGTTTATGTCAAGTAATAAGGGTTTAAAGATAACTCCCATTTTTATTTTAAAGTTACAGATAGTTTTTATATGCTATGTACATCAAATTAAGTATTAATAAGAGGTCCGTGATACTACCGATATCTAACCCCACGTAATAGTAATAATAATAATAATAATAATAATAATAATAATAATAATAATAATAATAATAATAATCACACCTCGTTATAGTATTAGCAATTGGCCATCCCAAACGCCTGATCTTAATCCCATTTGAACGTCTATGGAGTATTCGCAAAGGCATTGTCAGTGAATTAATTGCGGCTTTGCCATATTAATATCTAAATCTAATAGAAAACGGTGTAAGCTTGCATTGCAAGCGAGGGATGGCCAACTAAATATTAAACTAAAATTCATTAGAAAATTTAACTAGAAAAATGTCGGGAGACTTTTGTCTACCCACTGCGACATCGCGGAGGTAAGTTTATTCCTTGGACATTAAGCATATTGTCTATAGGAACAGGCTTATGAATATGGCGTATGAAGATGCGTTGACGAGTTACTAAGCGGTGAGTCCCAAACGCGCAATTATTATGAAACTGCAAAATCGTTTATTTACTTGTAGAATTTGCCATGCAAGCAGAATAGCGATACTTTGGATATTAAGATAAGACTCCGATAGTAAAATAGTGACAATCTGGATGGTCAAAATATTTGCCGTCTTATTATTATGGGTTTAGAAATCCAAATTGTGAAAATTATTCGTCCATTTAACGCCTGATAAGAGTTGGCTGATGCTTTTTTATGCTTTCTGCAATACCAACAAAGTGGTCTTTCAATGCGAGTGTAGACGGCACTGATATGAATTGACACCTGAGCCCTTTGGTTGGAACATGTTTAGTTGCGATATCCACCATCTCTTGAAGCGTTGATGCACTGCCTATAGTAGTACATCAATTAAGTACCATAATCAAAAGATTTCATTTCGCGACAAAGATATCAGTAGAACTTACTTGAACCGGCAGCAAAATATACTGTATATAGGTAAACGGGAGACCTGGTTGTAATGAAAGTGAAATAGTAAGTGAATATATAGACATAACAAATAAGTTACTGTTCAGAACTCTACTTACTGTTCGTCTTTGCCTCGTTTGCAAATCTGTTCGAGCTCCGCCCTCGGCACACTACAAAGACCGTCGGACAAGAATATGATCAAATTCACTCTACAAAGGTAGTCTTAGTTAGTAATATTGAAAGTATTTGTCAATATCGCCAATAATCCTCACCTGGCCTGTTTCTTGTGTCTCTGAATGACTTCCCCAGCTGTCTTAATGGCTTTAACATAATCAGTACCGCCGCTGGCCCTATGTTTACAAAGTTCATCAATTAAGCTATCGTTGTAGTCGAATTTTCGGTTCTGCATGACTATATTCGGATTGCAGTCAAACAGTATAAATGACATTATATCGTCATCAATCTGATTTGTCCCGTTTATTCCACATCGTGTCCTGACAAACTGCTTCACGCATTCATAGACTGCACCAAGTCGATTATCATGGTTTTGAATAATTTTTTGAGATCCGGTTCTGTCATCAGGCTTTATATCAGGGGAAGACATCGATCCGGACTTATCGATAACGAAGACAATATGATATGAGCCGTAATGTGAACACTCAAACTGATGACCATCCTTCGAGATATGACCATTCGCCACCTGTGTATTAGGGTCAGCAGGATCATGAAATAATGGCAATTTGCAGTAGTATTTCTCCTTGTTAGCATGTACATCGTTGCCACAAAGATGTACACAACTTGAAAAGAGTCTCTGTTCGTCGACTGACTCGTAAGGGTCTATAAAATGTTGAAGTCAGTAATAATACGTTACAAGGCGAAACACAAGATCACCACAAACAGATCTCTACCTCGGAAACCTGATCGACTCCAATATAGACGATGTGAGATATAGTCTTTGGGCTTTTCTGGGTATGGTTCAATTTTATCTGAAAACACAGTGACGGATCAAAAACTGCAAATATTACAACCAAATCAAATTATGAGCCATGTAACTACCATTAATGTGCTCAATCTGATCCTTGCGCTTCGCTAATCTTGAAGCTTTACATGTCGTTTCGTCGGGGCAATAATCAACATGAAGGTGACGATCGGCATCTTTGCACAGCTGTCGTATGAGTGAATAGTTAATATTACGAATCTGCATATACATCTCGCTACGCAGTAGCACTATTCACTTACCATGTCGCAGTAGACAGGGCTCCCTGAATCCCCACTTTTATACGTATGTTTTTTATAGCTAATAGTTTTGGTAATGCCTACCCAAACCATTGGCTTCATGCTTCCGTGAGCCGTTTCATGTGGTCCATGGTGTCCATATAGTTCTTTACACTAACAGCACAATATTGTTATCAGTATTACTATTCATTCTTAAATATTGTTTAATGGATCAGTGAACTTACATAAAATTGGCAGTAAGGACATCGTTGCGTACAGTTGTGATTTTCCTTACATTTGTGAGGACCTTCGTGGCTTAGTTTGTTTGGCGGAATCATAAGACTACAATTGAGCTTCCTTTCTTTTTGTGAGCGCTTGATAAACGTTGTTATAAGAACTGGTTAATTAGCGTCATTAAATATCAGTAAGCACAATGAAAAATCTTACCTCTTCGTAAGAAAACTCTCCAAAACTATTTTTGTATGTCCTCGTTTCCCTTGTGGTGTCGACGCTACAGATACCTGACTTCTCACATTTATTATTACATGGATGTTCGTGGCTAATGAATAGCAACATTATATTAGCTTTCACATAATAGGTATATGAATCAAGTTAACCATCTTGGTGACTCACCCGCATATATGATCTTCCCGCGAGCCTGCCTCAAGAGCATGGAGATGATCTAGACTCTGACACGGTCTTCTACATCCGTCAATGCAACAGACAATGGGGCAACCCCCCCGGGACTCGCATTTATGATGTTCATGGTTTTCTTCACAGGGAGTCACACAAAGTCCCGTACATTTATATAACTTTGAAGTTGATAAAGAACAATTTTTACCGCAAAAATGTTCCTTCGCTTGACACAAATGATCTCCTTCATGGCTGTCTTCCCCTGCACATCTCTTAAGGCAACCTTTCTTCGTACTATACTTGCATTCACGAGTGCAAGTGTGATTTAATATACAAACGTGTTTTCCTGCATGTCCAGCGGGATGATGACATAGCGGCAATTCGTTGTCTCCAGCATGATCCTCCACAAAATCGCAAGGTGAATGGCATTTATGATCTGTCATACAATCGTGTTCTGCATCTTGATGTTTGTTCTTTAAACATGGTAAAGTACATCCATTATTGTGACAGGCTTTCTCACATAAAGTCCACCGTTGTTTGAGTTGAATGACTTCTTTTTCGAGTTCTTGCTTGGTTTGTACAACTTCCTGATGATCCTGTTGATACGGTTGAAGGTTCGCATTAAGCCATTTTTCAACACGGTCACAACGCCGATTTACAATTTCACTAATAAATTGGCGATAGTCATTCAGCCATTTAGAGTCGTCTTTGGCAAGTGAACGCTTTCCAAAATGATTTTCGAAAAATGTTAAAAGACTCTTGGATTGTTCAACCGAATCCTCTTCGGTCTTATTTACTAAGATTATATTAGTGTCTGGTAAAGATATGTTAGAGTTGTTCTGAGTATTTAACATTGGGATTTCATAATCGTCGATACAAGTTCCAGTATTATGATCCTACCAACATAATTAAATGCGTCAGCAATGCTGCCAATGGCAGAAACCATACAGCCTAACATTATAGCGAGCGTAACTTACGACAAGATATTGTACGATAGATTGAGAGTCGAGTCTATTTTCATCAAAATCATTGTTTCCAATTTGCGAAGCGGATTCGATAAATTCGTGACCGTAGGCCACAACTATTGGGAGCAGCTTTTTAAACTTCTTAACCTTGCTTCGTAATATACTTTCATACAGGGATGTCCAGTCACTTATCTGTATTAAATTGCATGTTAGTTATTAGAAGAATAATATGGTGAGCATATGCCGGTTCTTACCGTCAATTTTGCCATGATGAACTTAAGCTTGATCAGAAAGTCAAGCGCATTGGCGTATTTATTCGGTGCTTCCTCATCCAATTTTTCTTTAAGCTCGTCGAATGTTACATAAAATTCTAACATTTGGATAAATGATTAACAAACGCACGTTTGATAGGAAAAAGATCAACATTCTAAACTCACCCGGATCATTGAATACAGGCCAAGGTATGATACTAATTGCTTCACCATACAATCTGGATATAAAATTATTCTCGTTTTCCTACAAAACATATTATATGTTAGTTTTTTTCCCATTATAATTCTATTTTAATTATTTGCTACATACGGCCTGCACGATGTCAGTAAGTTTCTGATAAAATTCATGCTGGATTAATTCAGTGTCAGCTTCTGGGACATCTTTAATAATCATGCAAAATAACGCCTGTATATGAGATCCAGCATTAGCCATTTTGCCCAACATAATCAATTCATCGCTGTGATCGGCTAAAAGACTTACCTGAAATATCCTACTTTCTTCTTCTTCATTGCCGAAATAGCGTCTGCCTACTTGAAATCTCTTGAACATCTCTGACATATCTCGATTGATCGCAAAGTGATTCTTGAACAAAATCATTGTCGATATGCTGGAGAGATGTGATATAAGAGAATTAGGACGCGGTGAGGAAACAGACATTACGTTGAAAACAGTCATCAGCTCGCAACATACCTCGCGTTTAGGAGGGTCAGATGAAGATCATCTTGAGCTGATCTTTCAACAGAATTGAGTCCTAGATGAAATGTAAGTAAATATAAGTGCTTATGATCAAATTGACCCGCTAAACTTGTAAGGCTTATGTTACCTTCAAAGTCAAGTGCTACATAGACTTTGTCTTCCACATATGCTTTTTAAAAAAGTTATCATATTAGTTGTCATTACCCTTACCTACAATATCAAGAATGAACCTTACCTAAAGACATCCATACACCTTCTGTACAACGCTAGAGAAAAGACACGCGTTTGAGTTTGATATAGTTACACTGACTCTGAATTCTCCAGTCGTTTCCTTACCATGGCAGATCCATCGAAACTTGTACCAATAAAATGATTGAGAAGGTACGACTTTCCGCACGATTGTTCACCCATGCTAGATACGACTTTCACGGTCTTATTACCAAGATATTTGAAGATTGCCTCATACCAATCGAATGAGATTGACTGACTAACTTCTTCCGCATTTTTTCCATCTTCGATTTGGATAGCCTGCTGAGATTGTAAGCCATTACGCAGGACAATAAACTGATCATCTCTAGCCACTGCCAGTTGTATTGGTATAAGTGTACATAACTGGATAACCCATCTATTTCCAATGGCAAATTAGTAGATAGAAAATAATGTAGAAGGAATATAAGCAAACTTACTCGTCTGTTCGATAGCGTGATGCACCTTGTTCTAAAATATCTTCTGCTAAAATATCATCATATCTTGCCACGTGTACACCAAATTTTTTCAACGGGCCCGTATCTTTTTTAGTGGCTTTACGAAGTTTCTGGAACTGGGATTTCATATAGTTGCTGAATCTATTCCTCAATATCTCCAGATCTGTCTCCGGGGTTTCCAGAGTGTCTATCACAATAGTGAGTTGCATAGGTACAATGCCATTATTTATGCAAGGCAGTATAGGATACTTTGTGAACAATTGCGAGTAGACATCCAGATATCCATTGGTTATTGTTTTTTCCTCTATTGTATAGTTATGCCACGATTTAGTGCCTGTTGATGATTGAAAACCACCATCGCCAACCTCCAGTTCAGTGTCGGAGAAAATATTCAGTACAGGTTTCTTTTCATTTTTTATGACAATATATTGACCAACTTGAACGTGCTGAGTAAACCTTGTACATTTGCCAAGCACAATAGTTGGGTTCTCAATCGTAACCTTTCCGTCAATCACATCGCTAGCATTTCTCCTAATTTGAAACTTATTCTTCTCGCCAGTGATGCAGACTCTTGCTGAAGTAAATCGGCTGTTTTCAAGATCGAGCGAAACTAAATGATGTTGAACATTCTCGAACGATGTAAATTGACAATACGGTAACATATGTGACGGGAAAGGAATAGTTTTTATCAAAGGATTGCTTTGCTCGCTTTTATCCAGATAGAATACGTGGGCGTGAACCAAATTGTCTACAGTGTCTACATCCATTGGTACCGGACCTTCTTGTAAATGGACGTAATCGGCGCCTTGCTCTCCGTTTGATCCTGAAAGGATAACTTTCTCACCATTTGATAGCTCGGTTGTATAACCATCATCTCTGGTCTCAGAAAGATGATCGTCCATTTCATCTGTTTTCGCGAAAAGTGCAAATATACAAGTTCCATCAGGCGAACTGAGAACACGCTGAGCATTCGCCGGAATTTTTGCAAAAGGTCTTAAATAATTATTTCCCAGTTCATAAGTATACGCGTTTCCATTTTCCTCGACGAAGAAAAGCGTTCGTGTATTATTGATCCATAGAAAATGGTCGACTGAGGATAATGACGCAAATGGCTCAAAAATATTATTGTAATCATCCTCAACCGTTTTGGCTTTCTTGTCAAAACTGTATACATGAAGCTGCCATAACAATTACATAAGTATATGTGTACTGGCAAAAATACATATTAATATACGAAAAAAATACCCACTTTGTGCTTTTTATTACAAAAAGTTGCCATAAGACCTTGTGAATCGTTGATAGCAATTAGTATATCCTCAGTGGAGTACAAAACCCTAACGGGTTTAGGAGAACCTAAGTCTGCAAATTTATCCACTAAATTTGCAAGCATATCATAATAGACAGCAAATGCCTCTTTATCTCCACGTTTACTTTTATCCTTCAAGATCAGTACAAACTTTCCATCATCAAACTGTGAGATATTCCTAGATAAAAAGAAGAAAAATCCCATTCTGAGAATAGACTAACACGTAAGAAGTTCGTTCTTGTATACTATGTAATGATACTTGCCTGATATCATAAACCTTGTCATTGATACGAAGAACTTTTTCGACACAAGCTCTCGGAGTCGGTAGATAGTTCGGATCTTGCTTAACTTTTCCACATTCATATGCATCCAGTTTGATTTCATTGATAGTTAGTTCGTTGTAAGGTGGTTCATCAACTTTAACGGTATAATGTAGAGTATATCCTGGAAAAAAAGAATCGCTCTTTTCCAATTTTTTCATAACGATTTCGTCGCTAAAATAACAGCAATTTAATTAATAAAAGTTATATAAATAATGTTACGTGTATAAATACATACCCCTTCGAATACGTTGACTCAAGCTTAGAAATTAAATTTTTTGCTATGTCTTTGTGCATAGCATCAATCTCTTCTTGATACTTGATAGAATGCATTTTAAAATAATCAAGCTTCGTCTTGTTATTCAAAAACGTTGACCAATTTTTCTCTTTCTTCCATCTTCTGTATGATTTCAAGAAATCGTTCTTAATAGATTCCATCTCAGATTCAATGAAAGGAAAATCCGGGTCACTAAATAGCTTCGAAGTAAAGTCGACGTCTGCTATATTAGCTGCGGCTAGTTCAGCCGCGTCAAACGCCTCAGTTATAGACGTCTTTAAAGAATGTTGCTCTGAATTTTCTGAATTAGCTGACCAACCAACGAACCGCGCCAAGACGTTACCAGCTTTACTTAGGAAATTATAACTAGTATTACTATCAGTTCCCTCGTCACCATTGTTGACCTCATTGTCGTTATTGTTACCAACAGCTTCATCATAAGTGTTAATTTCACCAGGCATTGTGTCAACTTCAGCAGACGCTGTGCTGATATTATCATCGCTACTTAGTTTGTCTTGACTGCTCAAATTGGACAAGAATTTCTCTAAACTTTGTAAGCGTTTTCCCATCTTATAAATCGCGAAGAAAAGCGAATCATTTCCTTGATAATCTACCAAACTTTTATCGTAAAGTGTCGCCAAATCGCCAGCAAAGATGAACTTGTTTTTCCCGCTCTTCCATTGGAAGTCGTCGATGACTTCTAACTCTTTGACAATTTGTTGGCATAGCTTTTTGTGGTGCTCATAACATTCCGTGCAGTCTTGATATATTTGTGATATGTTAGAGAGCAGGAAAGATAATTTAACAAATGAAAGTAAATTATAATCACTTTATGCAAAAGAAAGGAAAAAAACTTACTGGGATCGTCTTCAATATGACTTAAGTCGTTCTTTGGATGTTCGCCCTCAAAAATACTAAAAGGGTTCATAAATACTTAATACGTTTTTATTTACGTTTGTTTAAATCAATATCACAAATTTCTGTACCTGTAATGTTGCTCAAGTTTCCATTTGGCCCATTCAATCATTTTGTTCTTATATTCTTCAAACTCTTTCTTCCTATTCTTCTCCATTGTCTCCTTCCGATTCTTGTGTGGTTTCAGCAGATTGGAATCTTGCAAACCCTCTTCAACTAATGTCCACAACTCTTTGTATCCTAAATTTGACACTTTTAATGAATACTTCCCCTC